TCTCAGTTTCATTGTCCAACCCCTGTATATGCCTGTTTTGTTGACTTCCAAAAAGCTTTTGATTCCATCTGGCACGAGGGCCTCTTCTATAGGCTACTTGAAAGTGGTATTGGCGGTAAAACATGATTGATTAAGACATGTATACAAAAAGTGAATGTGTCATAAAGATTGGAAACAAACATCGTTCTTCTCCCAGGGCCGGGGAGTGAGGCAGGGATGCAATCTCAGTCCAATTCTCTTCAATCTATATATCAATGAATTAGAGTTCCACGGCACCTGGCCTCCTCCTGAACGACACAGAGATCAGAGATCTGCTGTATGCAGATGACTTAGTGTTGCTCTCACCTACTAAAGAAGGTTTGCAGCAGCACCTTAACCTCCTGCAGAGATTCTGTCAGACCTGGGCCCTGACAGTAAACCAGCAAAGACTAAGATAATGATCTTTCAGAAACAATACGAAATCAGGTTACACACAATTTCTATTTAGACATCACTAAATTACACACACAAAAACTACACTTACCTTGGCCTCAACATTACATACACAGGGAACTTCAACATGGCTGTGAAAGATCTGAAGGACAAAGCAAGGAGAGCTTTCTATGCAATAAAAGGAACATTAAATATATATTCCCTCGAAATCTGGCTTAAAATTTTCCAATTTACTAGAACCAATAATTCTGTATGGTAGCGAAATCTGGGGGCCAAAACTTAATAATGAATTTGAGAGTCCCCTCAGCCAGCTGGTCCTGAGGCTCTCTGCAGTAATAATTTCCCAACAGCCTCAGGACAGCAACACCAACTCAAGCAGACCAAACCAAATTATCAGCAAGCAGAAAGAAAAATATATTGAATACTGGAAAGAAACGACCAAAACACAAAGTAAATTTACAAAGTTTATCTGACCCTAAAAAGAGAATTCACACTGGCAAATTACCTGAGTACAATAAAATGTCCCAAACTAAGACAAATGTTGACAACATACAGACTGAGTGAACACAGCCTGGCCATAGAAAAGGGTCGACACAGACAGAGCTGGCTACCACAAGAGGAGAGACTCTGCTCCCAGTGTGACAGAGGACAGGTAGAGACAGAGGACAGTAGAGACAGAGCTGCACTTTCTAACCTCATGCCCTATATGCCCGATATAAAACACTAAGACAAAACACTTTGCAAACATTTCCCAAATATACCTCGAATTCGAATTCATAGCACACAGAAACTCCCCTATTTACATTCCCCAAATGTCAAATAATTGCCGCAAAATATGTCTCCTCATGCCATGAAGTGAGGAAAACCAGTGGAAACTCAGACTGATAATTGTACAAACTTTCAAATTATTTTGATTGCTTGATATTTAGTAATTGTTTTGTTTTTACATTTGATATTAATTATTTATTTATTTATATTTTTAATAATTTTTTTTTACTTTTTGTCTTAAAATATATACGCACACGTTTTATTTATTAAAATTTTTAATTTTTTTTTAACACACACAAACACATGCTTTAATTACTTTACGCTTTAATTAATTTTTATTGAAATGTATGGAGTTGACTGTTCTTTGGCAATATTGTTATACATTCATGCCAATAAAGCTAATTTGAATTGAACTGAAATAGGCTACTATGAAACAGTTTATTTATTTCAAACAGAATATTACTTGTATAAAATTATCCAATGTCGTCATTCATTTGATCTAGAGACGGCTATGCACTTTTATTTTGAAGGCAGCAACGTAACAAACACAGGGTGCAGGATGAGAGAAGTGTGGCAGAAGTTAGCAGAGAACGATGGACTTCACATGACAGGATTCACAACTTGGATTCATGTTTATGAAAATCTGTTTTGATCGGTGGACCCTCACAGACCGAAGGAAGATAAATATCAGGAACGGATACATTCAGCAGATCACACCTGTAAATCTATAAGAATCAGACTTTGAGGCTCGTTGTTTCTGTTAAATTAACTGAACGACTGAATGTGGAGAATCTAACCGATCTAACGATGTGCAGCATGTCCACACTGACATATTGATCATACGTTTAAACATTAATATCTGTATTAACGATCTAAGCAGCTAAAGCGGCGTCCCTGCGGGGTTTAAGAGGTTTTATACATCCAAAGAACTTTTATAAAAACCAGACCAGGCGTTTAATGGAGACCTGCGTTTATTTGTCAATGTGTTCCCACACTAGGCCAGTAAACGGGGCAGGCGGCTGTTTGGGACTCGGCTATTAATTGAAGTTTCACGGTGCCTGCAGAACTAATGACGTTCCCATCAGCCTCAGCTGCTCTGTTTGCTGCTAATTAGCTAACGTTGGCATGCTAACACACACAGTAGTAGCAGTATCACACCTCACTTCAGCATGGCTGAAGACTCTTAAGTTTCTCTCCTCCTCCTCCAATTGTAACCAGGTGGATCATTATCACATCATTTGAAGGCGATCATTACCCCCAAAACCTCTGCCGGCTTGTTTGCTCACTATACTTCAATTTTATTAAAATGTCCTTTATTTTACTTTTACGCCGCTGCAGCTTCTGCCAGTTTTGTAACTTTGAAAATAGGCTGGTGGTCCTTCCTGCTCCGCTACGAGAGAGTCCGGCAAGAGACTTGACTGGAAGCACTTTTACCTTCTTCCTGTGAGCTCAGGTCGGCGCTGTTGAAAGGTCCGGTGTCACGGCTCAAACTGGCCACAGATCACAGGAGGAGTTGGGCTCTAACATGGACAGCCGGTCCAAACACACTTGTGTTCACGCCACAGTACACTGGGTTTCTGTGGAGGCAGGCGTGCACGAACATACAGTCCTAATAACGTCTGAGCAGATGGCAAAATGTACTTCACACAATTTTTAGTTTAATTTTGTTTCCTAAGCACTTCTGTGTTTTCATATCCCTAAAATGTCTTAGATCCCCTGAAAACCTCTTCTTCAAGAATCCTTGGAACTTCTCAAGAACTCTTTGAACCTTCTCCAGGGTCCTTGAACACTCCTCAATGACCCGTTAACCTCCTCGAAGGCCCTGGATCCTCCTTGCGAATGTGATTTTATGTGCGAGACGTCTGGTTGGAGCCTCATGTGACTGTTTGACTCCGTAGTGATCCAGAGAGTGAAGTGTTTCATGCTGTGACTCCACCCCCTCATTAGGACCCTGAAAGCGGTCGGTGGACTGGAAACATCCTCTTTTGTTCCCGCAGGACCGTTTCCAGAAACAGTCTCGGCTCTGTTTTTTACAGTAGGTTTCAGGACGGGTCCTCACTGTATATGAAGAGGTCCTGAACTGATCCGGGCATCACAATTCACTGGCTGTGATCCCACTCAGCCCGTTTCCCACGATCCAGGACAGGAGTTTAATCCAGGTTTCCAGGACGCTGAGCAACGAGGTCGACTCTGACCTGGGCGACGAGTGTTCGAGTCCTCCGGTTGCAGTTAAAATATGTAAACTGTATGTTGTAGTCCTGCAGGGCCACGTAGAAGCATTTCCTGATCTGAAGCTGCTGTCAACAGGAAAACATAAATTTCATAAGAGAATCGAAAAACTGAAGCACAATGGATTATGGGAAATGTAGGATCCATGATACTTAGTAGGATTCCTCCACCTCTGCTGCACAGATTGTGTCTCAAACTTGATGGAAGAGCAACACTAAATAATTTTAGTGCTGCTTTAAAATACACAAAGTAGTTTTACAGAGATGATATCAATTTGCTTTACACAAAAAAAATTATTAAAATAAAACGGTGTTTAAACCGATAACAGTAAAAACCGTATGTCTACATATTTAAAAGCCTGAAATAAAACTTTTAACCAAATAAAAGTGAAAGCCTGTATAGTTGCTTCTATAAACATACAGTATAATCAGTAAAATGTACTGAAGGATTCACAT